ATGTCATCTGAAGGCTGCGAGTTCGACCCTCGCGGTGGGCTATAGATCCATTAGGCCATCAATGTTTTTGTTATGCATGACGCCTAGTTGGTTCCCTGCGTTGAAACCCCTGACTATGTAAAGTTGGAAACTGCACAAAATGCATACTTTTGATGCCATCTCCTGCCAGGGCCCTCTATCCCAATGCTCTCCGCCTTGAAACCCTTCATGTATGCAGACCTTTTTAGGCCTGCGCCACTCCGGGCCGGCAGTATTTGGCAGCGTAAATAAGCGACTCACGAGACGTGGCAGAGAGTCGCGTCGCCATTCCGGTCAACTATCATGTCGCACTCACACTCCCACGCACCAGGCCAAGCGCACTCGCATACCCACTCCCATGAGCCTTCACAGAATCCCCAGAGCCCTCAACCGTCCATGATGCCCACGCCAGACCCCGCACTCCAGGCTCTCATCGAGGAGGACTTCAGGCCCGTCCCACTATCGCTTTCTGATGATCGAAACACGGCCTATTGCCTTGAGCACCGTCTGGAAAAATGTGATGCTTGCGATGTCGACTTTCTCAACCTCAACCGCCGCTCAACAGTGCTCGCCAACAACCCGAATCTCCTCTGTCCACCACCGCCTAATCTCGTCACACAGAAGCTATCGCAAATAGTGACTAGTACGAAAGACGAAGGAAACGTGCGTCGTTTCGATAAGCCATGACAGCCCTCTCACACATTCTCATCCTCAGTCATTGTTCAAAAACGGCCTGCACACTGCTGCTGTCAACCGCTACACAGCTGCCGCGAGCTTCGCCATCAATCGACCGCCTTGGGAAAATAACCAAATCATGCGCGAGGAACTCTCGACTGTCATTTCCAACCGCTCCGCAGCTTTCACTGAAGCCAGCGACTACATCTCAGCACTCGCAGACGCGGAAACTGTGATTCAGCTACGGAAACAGTGGAGCAAGGGTCACTTTAGGAAGGCAAAGGCGCTCGTTGGCCTCCAAAAGCTACGCGACGCAGCAGACGCCGTGAAGCTCGGGCTGTCGTTCGAACCAAACAACAATGTGAATATCTATGCCTGTTGCGCGCGTACGGTCTTTGTGTCATGCTGAACAAATGGCTCTTTTCAGGAACTCCTGCAGTATCTCTCGGACATTGAGAAAGCCATCGCGAAGAAAGACGAAGCGAAGCAGGAGATGACGCAGACGAAAAGTGAGCAGTAGGCTCGCGGTGCTGGCGTGTTCTTGGTCTCGTGTGTGTAGTATTATTGTATCCCTTCCAGTGAGAGTACATTACGAGTGTACGACGTCTATGATACCAGATTTATAGGCCATATCCAAAGTCTTTCGGAATCGTATAGATATAGTTAGTCCCATTGCTTCTCCACGTCCGTTTTGTCATGTCCTTACAACCACCTTCCTGACCAGCGTAGTCCATGGCCTTTTCACATGATGAAAAGCTCCAGTCTGATTCTAGAGTACATTCCTTCGTTCTACAGCGGGGGACACCTACGCGCCAAACCAGTTTCGCTTCCTCATGAACCTTGAGTAGTATGCGCTACCGGATATCTTGGCAGCGTTCGAAGAGATTATTGGCGTCATCTACATTAATGAGATCATCAACTCACATTTCCAGCGTTATTGGACGTGTCGTCCTCGACAGCCGACGTAGCGCTCGCGGGACCTGCATTCGCGCCACTGGTAGTCGCGGTAAAAGCAGGGATGGCACCAGTCACTGTAGCACTCGAGGCGCCGGCGGCGCCGGCATCCACGACGCTTTCGGTACAGCTAGAGTCGGTCGCGGTGACGGTCGACTGTTGCAGAGCGCTCGTCCTCGTTGCACCGCTGACAGCACTTGCGTTCTGATTCATGTCATTCAGGGACGTCTGCACAGCAGGAGCGGTCGCCTATGTCGAATGAAAGATATCAATCACCCAAGCCGTGGTGTACTCTTCTGAGGCGTACCAAGGTGACGGTGACGGTGACAGTATTAGTATTGTTATCGACGCCTGACGCGCTGGTATTGATGTCGATAGACGTGCTGCTGCTGCTGTTGCCGTTGCCGTTGTCGTTGTCGATGATATTGGCCGCACCGCTAAAGTTCCCACTCTCAGTGACCGTGCCATTGAAGCCATAGGTGAACCCATTGACGATGATGCTAGCAGCAGGGGCCGGTGCAGGCGGAGCCGTGCTGGGCAGCTGGGATACAGGC